CCTAAAATTTACTCCTAAACTTTACAAATATAAAAATATATGGTGTACTATGTGAGTTCGAGAATCACACTACAACTGTACTTGATATGTGTTTTTCTCCCTACTTTAGCCTCCCTACATGTTAATTAATCTGGTTTGTTAATTTAAAGGTGATGGAGACGGATTAGCAATTTAAGAATCATATCACATGGCAGCTAGTCTTAATAGACAATAAGCGTAGAGCAATTATATTACATGTGACAACAGTTTTAGTATATGGAATTGACATTAGTAATTCTGTTTTTGCATGACATATCATTCCAAACTCTATTATCACTCTCTCCGTCAATTAAAATTATCTCATCTTTTCTTATTTATCCGCTCCCACTAAGGTTAAATTGTTTTATACCAAATATGGTAATATTTGATGGTTCAAAATTGTTCTTACCTTAATCTCACTTGATGATCAATTCAATATCAACCACATAAATTCATTTTTTTAGATAATCGCACAATATCCTCTTGTACCAAATGTTAGGGATATGGAAGTAATACACACACATATGCGTTTAATTTTGTTTTAATCCAGTAGGTAAAACATCAAAATCAGTGGTGTAAGTATCATCACCAAGCGCTTACCAGTTACCATTATTGCCAAAAGTTTTAGCCGGTAGCGAAGACGCAACTTTATTTCCTTATACCTGCGTAGCAGTCAAACACCACATTTTGATTGTATCGGTAGGCTGGTATGATTACAGGCATCGCATCCCGCGGCCCTGCAACCCCACCCTGTAAGGCTGATAACTACGCTGCATTGTCGAGGATCGAACCTGTGACCTCCTTTGATATCAATTTCCAAGATCAAGCGCTTACCTCTATGCCAAAAGCTATAACTGGAAGCGAGAACGTAACATTATTTTCTTATACTTGAGTAGCTGTCAATCACCACATTTCAATTGCACCGGCAGTCTGACAGGAGTGCTAACACTGCATTCCCATGCCCCAACATTAAGCAGGCAATAGCTACCAAATTTTATTACAAAAAGAGATAATTACAAGAGGACTATAAATCCTTACCCAAGGATTTATATTGGTACACAAGGGATATGTCATATGTTGAGCATCTGATCTAGAGCTAACGTTCTCCTGGTCCGTGGTGAATAATGAAGCAAGATCATAAGTAATAGTGTAATACTAGTACGAAGTATTAGTTGAGTTTGAGGAATTATAGTACTAGATAAAAAACCTTTCCCATATATAGAATAGATCTTCTCACTTTCTACATAAGGTGATGAAGAGTAGTTTAATATGTCGAGGTAGACGTGGAAAGCACATGAAAGACAATGTATGAAGCTATCACAAATTCATAGTTGTGATATCTAATATCTTTCTCTATTGATAAGCATTTCTAGTACTTCGTATATCCTTTATGCATTGAAGCTCGACTTCCAGTAAGGTAGTATCACTTGAAGGCCAGGTCCTGAGATGGCTAGGATCGATAAACCTGCATATTGAGTTTGGGCTTAGAAGCTTGCATAGATCGAGCTTTAGAACATCAAAACCATTTAGTGTTGTCTACCGAGCACATGTTAATTCACATGTTAATTGAATATATGAATTAGAATAGTGTTTAAATGAAGTAAAAGTATAAAACTGCCTACTTCTTTTAGGGCCAATATGATTGGGGGATTTCGGAGGGGAGGGAAGGGAAGGAGTCATATTTAAATTCAAAATATTTTTTCCATTTTAAAAAATTCAAATAAAGTATAGACAAAATAGTATATAAAAATACATGGTTTAACTAATTTTATAGTTATTTGAAGTTTAAAACTAAAACATTCAGATAAATTAATAAAATAAAAAATCAATCCTCTCCCTCCCTCCCCTCCTCTCCGAAATCCCCAACCAAACTGGGGGTTAGTGGGCAGACTAGTTCTAATACATGGATTATTATTTAATTCGATAAATAAATGGAGAGTTACGAATAGAATCTAGCAATCTCTTCTTATAAGAATTTGGTGTTGTGGGGCCTTTTTGTAAAAAAATTTATTTTTTGTAGGGAATTAAGTAATATAAGACTCCAACGATTTAACATATACATATTTTTAGATTTCTATTCACGGTTCTACCACATTCTTCAGGTTGTGTCTTTTGTTTTCTTAAAATATTTTACAAAATGCCTCCAAAGAAATATTTGTTAGGAGCAAAAAATGAAAAAAAAAAAAATACAGCAGAGGAGATAATAAATTCTCAGAGATATGGATGGATTTATTAAAATACATAGTATATAGTAAGTTCTTCTAATGATAATTTGAGTAGGTTGTGTTTTTCGTTTTCTTAAAATATTGAGTTAATTACCTAAATAGGACAATAAAGTGGCCAAAGAGCACAATTACATCTCAATCTCTTCCAGTATGACTATAAATCAAACCATTGTTTCGCATATACAAATCTCCATATAGTTTACCTAAGTATATGGCAGAATTTTATTGTTTCCCATATATTTTCTCCGAAACCATTATTTACCTAACTATATGCTATACAAATCTCCAGACGTTTCGCATATACTATCCTCCGTTTCTTTTTAATCGCAACATGTTGAATTTTACACTATTCACAGGCTCTACTTTGACTAAATTTTACGTTATTATTTTATGGAAATTATTTTTTAAAAAAGATATTGTTCAATTCATCTCATTACAAAGTTTCAAAATCCGTTTTTTAAATTTTTTTTTTTTACTAATAGAGATTAAGATATAATTACGGTCAAAGACGTGCGTTGGCAAATGTGAAATGTTGACCGTTGCAACTAAAAAGAACGGAGGAAGTAGTTATTACATTAGAAATATAAATAATGGAAAGAATAAAGATAGAAAATGATTGATTTATTCTAAACAAGTGGATAAGATATTCTGTTTTTCTTGCAAGTTGTTTGAGTCTAAATAAAATAAAAATACTTTAGCAAACGATGGTTATAATGATCGGAAGCACCTTGTATTTAATTGTACGATTAAATACAAATCAAATCATTGTTAAAGATTTCCAACAACAATATGAGAAAAAACGTTTTGAAATTCCAAAATAGGAGTATCATGTTTTTTATTCCTTGAATAGGAGTAATCTGCCAAATTTGGAAGAAAATGCCATGTTTAAAAGCCTTCTAATGCCAAACTTGGCAGAAATTTACTCCTATTCAAGGAATAAAAAACATGATACTCCTATTTTGGAATTTCAACACGTTTTTCCTCCTATTTAGGTCAATTTCTGATATTCTTTTCCTTTTTAAGAAATAATGAGAAATTTTATTTAGATATTTTTTATAATTGGTTGAAATGACATCATAATTTAATGTGATACTGCAAGATTGTGTTATACACATTCAAAGTCATGAAATTCATAATTGTTATCTTGTTAAAAGTTTAAAAAGAGTTATTTTCTATATTGGACCATAGTGTTAAAACTTCAACCATTGGAGTTGTAAAGTTATTCTTAATTTCTATTGGAGTTGTTAAATATTATTGTGTAGTTCTTGATTGTACCCCATACGTAAGTAATCAAGAGAAAATGAGTTTAGTAATGCCATGTGTGAATAAGTCTGCTAGTAAAATAAAAATGGAAGAGTACTTTTTAGAATTTTTAAAGGTGTCAAGATGATACATCTAGTTTAGGACTTCTTAAGGAATTGTTGAATGCTCTTATTATGATAGTAGTTCAAATATGAAAGGAAAACATCAATGAGTTCATAATCGGTTGCTTAAAATAAGTCCCAGAGCGTCAGATATGTCATGTGTTTGTCATAGTCTTAATCTTTTTCTTAGTGATATGACTCATTCTTGTATTAAAGTTGTTTCATTTTTTGTGATTGTTCAACGCATATGTACTTAATTTAGTTTTTATTTAGAGAGATGGAAATTTTACTTGATATTGTCCCAAACATGACCGCTAAATCTTTGTCTAATACATGTTGGGAGAATCGGTTAAAAAGTGTCAAAGCTATCATGTTTCAATCCCAACAAATTAGATTGACTTTGTTTGAGCTCTCTAAATCTTGTGACGATGCCAAGTCAAAAAGTGAAGCATAAAGTTTGATAAGTGCAATTGAATTTTTTTTAATTTTTACTTGGTATGGTTATTTGGTATGATATTTAATATGCAATAAATATAGCAAGTAAAAGAACACAATTTAAATTTATGTGCTTTAGTGCTTCTATTAATCAAGTTGAAAGTATGATGCAATGTTTTGAGAAATATAAAAATTAAGGTTTTGTATCAAGTATGAATAAGTTTTTTAAATGTGTTACACGTGAAATGGATGTGGAGCCTAAGTTGCGATTAAAAGACATATTATTAGGAAAAAATAATTTGATGAAAGAGGGCACGAGGATCGCTTAATTACCATCTGAAGAAGAACTTTTCAGGGTAAAAAGATCTTTCTAATTATTGTGGATACGACTATTTTCTCATTAAATAATATTTTTGAATAATTAAAGTCATATTTTTGGATTTTTGTTGAAGTTGAATTGGTTGGATGACGTTGAGTTAAGGCACTTTGTGTTAATATTACACATACATGTTCTCATAACAATGTTGTGGATGTGGATTTAGATGATCTTTTTCATTAAAAGTGTTGCATATCACTTTGCCTCATGTATTCCATATCAACTAGAGTTTGTAAAAGTTGCATATTGCTATTCGGATGTCTCTATTGCTTACCCAACTATGTTGACAGCTCTTCAAAGTTGAAACTATTGAAGACATAGTGAGATTTTCAATGCCTCAAAAAAAGATTGAATGACTTCGCGATATCATGTATCGAGAAGGACATGTTGGATAATGTTAATGAGTCAATGTCAATAAAACTTTTAATATACATGTTACTTCATAGTTGGAGACTTTTCTTCTTTTGTCTCCGGTCTATGAATTATCACGACCGGTCCTGGCCTACTCAACTCATCAACATCTTCTTCAATACATACACACACTACTTATGCATGCCTATAAACAATAGTTGTATGTACACAATTCAAACAATGACAAGATGGACGGATGAAGAATATTATGAAATCAGTCTAGCACACACCTTAGTGTTGAAGACAGAGATGGGTAAAAAAGGAAGAGAGGGAGAGAGAGAGAGCTGGCGACAAAGAGGAGAAATGTGATGCTCGACGTGTGGAGAGATAATAACGATAAATTAAATTTCTCCCTGTTTATACGGGGCCTAGCGTGTTCGTAGTCGAGTACGTCCAACATTTTTATAATTTAAGACAGAAACGGAACCTATGTAACTATTTAGAATCATGAAAACAAACAAAGCTAGGAAGCTAATAGTAATAATTTTGCATTAGCTTTATTTAACAGCAAACAAATACAGATGTGTACTTGCCTAATAGATCAATACTACAATTAACCTTGTCTTCCTTCAAACCACGCCACTCTCCTCTCTGTCCTCACTTAAATTCCCTCCTTTTTCCACCTGGCTGCCTATATACACCACTTATACTATTTTAATTCACCCAAACCCATTCTCATCGATCCTCCCTCCTCCACCCACCAGAAAACAACCATGTCTGTAGATCTAGACCTCCGGCAAGTTTCGCCGGGAACTCAAGAATTGCGGCGAGTCTTGTCGGAATCTCCAAAATTCAGGCAAGTCTCGCCGGGAACTCAAGAATCCCGGTCAGGATCACCGGTAACCAAAGAAATCGGCCAAGTCTCGCCGATCAACCCAGAATCCGATCAAGAAAACAGAGATCCCAGAGTAAACGTTTATTTGTCAGCAACGATTCGGCCGGAAGATCGCAGGTGCAACAGTAAAATCGGTGATCATCAAGAAGAAAAAGCCTGTTTGACGCCGAATTCTCCCCGGAGTTTGATCCCGAAAACGGGCAATTGCCCGCCGGCGCCGAAGAAGCCAGTGATCAGGGCGGCGCCTTCTTGCAAAAGAAAGCTCATTTTTTTCGAGATCGACCGGAAAGAAGAAATTCAATCTTTTTTCCGGCTTGTTCATCACCATCACCATCCCAATCCTGATTCTCCCACCAAGAGAAGCCGTAAATTAGAGAACTGAAAATAAAAACATCAAATTTCCAATTCCCAGTTTTCCACTATTAGTATTTCTTCCTTTTTTTATCTGGCTCTGTTTTGAATATAGGGAGTGTAATATCATCATAATCATGTATGTAAGGGTGTATTTATTTTAATTTTTATTACAACTTTCAATAAATATATGAATGAATTATTTGAGCTTGCCTTATTCAATTATCATACATGGAATTTCACAGGAACGTCTAGACAGATACATACATATGCATATGCGTGTGTGGTGTGTATATCTTCCAGATTAAGATTGAGAATGGGAATTAGTTTTTCAAGGGATGGCCGAAGAAGAAAGGTAGATGCGGTCTTTTACTCCATTGATTATAACTTTTTAATTTATACTAGTACTTTTTTATAGATTCAGCCATCACTGTATTAAATTCTGTAAAAAAGAACAATCACTGTGTTTTACAGAGTATGTATATATATCAGGCATGTTTATAGATGCAACAATCACTGTAATAAATTGTGTCACAACTGACAAAAAACACACTGTATCATTAAAAATAGGAATAAATTTGTTTTGTCAATTTTATAATCTAATACTACAAAATATGTCAAAAATGTAATAAATTAATTACAAATGCTGTGAAATTTTCGGATTTAAATCTATACATGTTTTCGTTAAAAAAGTGGACTTCTTGAGTGCATTATATATGATCAAAAGTCCACAAAGAAAAGTATATCAATATAATAATGCACTAAATATGATCAAAAGTGAAATTGTTCGCCTTACCGCGATTAAAGACAATAATAGAAAATGTTTGGAAATGGGAAGGATGGCAGAAGAAGAAAGGTAGATGCGGGTTTTCTGCTCTTCTGTTTAAAACTTTTTATATTTACTCGGTAATACTTTAGATGCAATAATCACACTATTAAACGGTGTCAAAAAGAACAATAACTGTGCATTAAAGTTGTTACAAGCAATAGCGATGGAAAATCCATTCCTCCATTCCCGAATTATATTAGTGGTTATTTATGAATAAATATACGAAGCAGGAGATAAATACTTTGTATTAGGGATGGACATATGTGTTTTCGGTTTTTTATCGGTTTCGGTTCGGTGCGGTTTGGAAAGGGTTAGGAGAATTATTATCAAATAAAAACTATACTATTTTTCGGTTTGGTTTGAATTTATTATTTTTTAATAATATTTGAAGGTTTTATTGAATTTATTTAGTCCATTTCGATTTTGTTCTGTTTTTATCAGTTTCGGTTCGGTTCAGTTTAATTTGGTTTGAAAAAATACTGTCAAACTCAAACCAAATTGAATAAGATACGGTTTCGGTTCGGTTTAGTTCGATTTGGTATGTTTTGGTTAAACCAAACCAATATGCTCAATCCTACTTTGTACGTACGCACTACGTAGTACTCGTATATATTAGATGCACCCTTGAACAAAAGGAGTTCATCATTTTATTCGTACATAGTCTCTTTTTTTAAACTCCTGCCATTAGTTTTGTCCCATAAAATTCTTCTCACTTGCTATTTTGGAATATTCAAAAAATTCTTCTCATTTTCTGTTTTGAAAAGTTATTTGTGGCTAACATCTATTCACATTTTTCTTATTTAACCACAATTACTACTTCTGCCCCATAAAATAGTTCTCACTTTCATTTTTGAGTCATCCCAAAAATAATTCTTGTTTTCCTTTTTAAAAAGTTTTGTGTGACTATCATTCATTTATCTTTTTCTTACTCAATCACAATCATATATTTCGACTTTATTTTCACTTTCTTAAACTCCATCCAAATCCTAGTGGGAACTATTTTATGGGGCGGAGCTAAGGGAGTATATATCTCCTTCATGTGGGACTACATCCCTTTTTTAGTCTCATGACTATTATGTCACTTTCACATTTTGTACCTTACTCCGGACTTCACCACATCTTGTCCCATCGTTTTCTCCCGTTACCATTCCTCGTCCTTCCGGCGAGAACTCCAACGGGTTTAAAAGTCTTACTATTAAAACGACAAATAAAGTTTAAGGTTATTTTAGTAATTATACTTTTTTAAACGGCTAAATGTCACCTAAGCCTCTCTAGGGTCTATGGTAGAGGGAGAGATGCTTAGGTGATAGTTAGCCATTTTAAAAAAAAGTATAATTATTAAAATAACCTTAAACTTTTTCGTTTTAATTTGTAAAACTTTTAAACCCGTCGGAGTTCTCGCCGGAAGGACGAGGAATGGTAACGTGAGAAAACGATGGGACAAGATGTGGCCAAGTTGGAAGTAAGGACAAATGTGGAAGTGACATAATAGTCCTGAGACCAAAAATGGAATTTTCTCTCTCAAATATAAGTTTTTACGTGATTTTTTTTTCAAAGATGTTTTCTTTTGGACTGAAATTTGCTGGTCTGGTCTGGTCTGTTTAAGTATGGTTTGGTAAACATATGGTCTGGTCTGGTCTGGTCTGGTAAACATCTGGTCTCTGTGTATTTTATAACTACGGAAGTCTGGTCTAGTCTAGTTTGGTCTGTTTAAGTCTGGTTTGGTCTGGTCTGGTCTGTTTAAGTCTAGTCTGGTCTGGTGTGGGACTGAAAACCGTCCAAAAGAAAACATCCAAATTCTTTGTGAAATCTAATGGGGAAGATGAAGAGATAAGAACATATGGAAAGTAGTACTCTGGCGGTATATCCTATTGCACAAAATGTAATGGTGTACTTCGTATATAATTGTGTGCAAGTACAAGATATTTTATCCAGTACCACATATGCTTCTCTTTAATTTATTACGAGTCCTTGTAGCACGTTCGTGGTGGTCTGGTGGACGACTTCTCTATGGCAAGTTGTAACTAACAAATAAATGAATTGTTTGATTTTAGATAATGATGAATGTAACGTGTTATGATGTGATCCAATTGATCTTTAATTTCCCTTATTTAGTTTAAGAGCCCGTTTGGTAACACGAAAATCGACTGATTCGGCTGATTCTGCTGAAATTTATGAAGTTATGGTTGAAATGGCTGTATTGGTTGATACTATTGATTTAAGAAAAATAAAAAAAAAATGATACAAGTATTTTATTAAAAAAATAAAGATAAAATTATATGTAACAATAGCTAAAGTGATCATCTACATTAATTTCAGCCAATACAGCCAGAAAAGTAACTTCAACCTTACTCTTTCTTATAATTACACAATTCATCACGCGAAAACAAAAGTTACGTGTTTGATGAAAAAGTTGACTGGTTAGCCTGATAAGCCGAAAAACAGTGTTATCAAACGGCCTCTAACTATACATGACATTAGTAATTACACATCAAACGGCAAACTAAAGGCTATTTTTAGATGGTTTTTATAGACAGTGCACTCACTTCCATTCATTAAACATAATGACAAGGATTAGCTACCTGATATTCTGATAATCGAAGAAAGGTGGATAGATGATGTTACTCAATTGCTTTTGTTTGAAAGCACTCCATCATTTTATCATAAAGTAATTATCCTAAATGAGACTAAAACATGGTTAAAACTCCAAAATAGGACTTGAAGTTTTAAATTGCATAAATGGGATCCCTGATTACATTTTTACCCCCAATCCCCAAAACACCTTTTCCCCAATCCCTCTGCCTCTGCATCGATCGTGATACCTGCGAGTATTTCCCCTTGCGACTCAGCTCAACCGCCCTCGACTCGACCTGCTATCGTCGCCGCTGCTTGCTCGACGCCGGCCGCCACTCTTCAACGATTCTCGCATCGCCGCAGCTCTGCCAAGGATGACCTCTGCTGCAATTTTCCAGTCAATTCAAGTCAGGTATGTACTCTTCTTCTTCTTCCTCTTCTTTTCTTCTTCTTTTTCTTCTTCTTCTTCTTCTTCTTCTTCTTCTTCTCAGCCTCTTCAATTTTCTGATACTCTGTTATCTTGTTCTGTGGATTTCAGTTTTATTTATAAAGCAAGAATCTGATAATGCCATAAAATTGTCAATAATTTTTTTGAAGAATGTCATTTATGTGGCATTACATCTATGAAGATGACATTTTTACTTTGAGATTAAAAAACTTTAGAAAAATTTCATAATTGATGTTTAATCCAACACTGATTTGTAATAATGTCACTTTTATGACATTACATTTGCGAAGGTGGCAGTTCAAAGAAAAAAATGACATCTTCATAGAGTAATAATGTCATTCGCATGACATTTTTGAAACAAAAATGACATATTTAAAGTGTCAATTTGTTGAGTAACAATGTCAGTTTCATGACATACTGTCATCTTGACAAATGCAATGTCATAAAAGTGACATTTTTCTAATTGCTTGAAATTTATGGCATTTTGAGGTTCCAAATTAATCAAAATTAATAGAGGATAGAAGCCGAGAATAGAGGATCAAAAATTTGAACAGGATTAGAAGAAGAAGCAAAAGAGGAAGAAGCAGGAGAGGAAGAAGAAGACACAGTCGATGGAGGAGTTGGCTATGCGAGGCCAAGCAGTCGATGGGGGAGCAGCCTTCCATGGGAGGAAGAGATGTTCTGCGATGAATTGAAGAGTCGGCGGAGTGATGCGATGAGTTGCAGGGGCTTTTTTTTTTAATTAAGGGCAGTTTTGTCAGGTTGCCTCTTTTTAGTCCTATTTTTGCCAAATAAAACACAGTAGTCCTACTTTTACAATTTTACCTAGTTTTAGTCCTATTTAGGTAAATCTCTCTTTATCATATAGTTTCATGTTCTAAAACATCTCATCATTCTGGAATGTATTATATATTCCAAGGAAGTATTTAAATATATAGTAGATCGAAGCAGGAAATTAAAGTTGTTTATTATTATATATACGAATCTTATAATTTGAATATATAGTGGTAATTAAACAGGAAAATGAATAGAATGTCTATTATGTCCATATTTCGTTCTCAAATTTGATAATTTTACTATTTAACGTATTTTATTTTAGGATTTTTAAATTAAATCTGTGACTTTTAAAGTTTTTGAAAACTTTAGAAATTTCAATGATTTTATTACTTCATATGTTCTTCAGTTGTTGGCACATATTCATTTTAGGGAAGTTCTTTTAGTAAAAAAGGCTCTTTATTTTACTTTTGGACTAATAAAAGTGAACTGAACACAGTAGAGATCGATTATTTTAACTAAATATTGATTTTACAATTGGGGCAACAATGTGGATTTTAATTGTAAGTGAACTTGAGTCTATGAGGGT